AGTGGACATAACGTGTCTAATAAATACTTACTGGATTTATTGTATCGAATTCTCGATTAAATAAAACTAATAATTCTATATATTATATATGCATATGGAAGATACTACCAATTCTACAGTATCTGCTACTGCTCTGTCATTTATGGACAGCTTCATTAATCGTGCTTAAGCTAATAGATATCCAAAATACTTATATTTTGGATTTTTTAATCACTACCCTTATTATTATTATTATTATTATTATTATTATTTAAACAGTATCTATAATTAAAAAAACATAAACTATCCTTTAAAAATTGTCGCATGTTATAATGTTTTAGTCTGTTATACAGTTATAGTATTTTTTACCACTATAATAAAAATATTATAGATAATCTAAATATACTTCTAACCTTAATCAAACTAATTATAAACCTAAAAATACAATATTATAAAGAAATATAATATGCTATCACTTATCGTGTTTAAAAATAATACTTATAATATTTTTAGTATATTAATAAAATACTACAAACGTTATTAAAAGATATTATAAACGAGCTAAGTATTCAAAATATAAATATATTTAAAAAAAAGATATATTATGGATTTTTTTAAACTAAAAATATTGTTTGAAAAGAAACAAAAGAAGGAAATGAGTTTTGAGAAATATTCAAAATATAAATATATTTTAGAAAAATCATCCAAAATGAAATATCAAAAACAAAACTTTTGCTTACCGTTAGATCACAAGTACGATTAAGAAAAAAAATCTAACAGAGAACTGTCTTCTCTGAAAGCAGCACAGTCGTCGTCATCACGTAGGCATCGAAGAATCCACCACCCAACAACGAAAAACTCGAGATGGAAATTTAGGGTCCCGATCTTGTTATCCCTGCCGCACTCTGGTCAACAGAGAACTGTGAACCCATCACCCACACCAGAAGTACCACGGGCTGCTTAGCTCCAAATAGAGAACCCTCTCGGACAGAAACCATGCATCGCTAAAAGCGGCGTCTTGTCACGTACTAGTCTTCAGGGTTTGCAGGCGTCGGGGTGAACATCGAGGTGATGCTGTGCTTCTCTCTCTCCTATACTGCTGTCGAGAGAGAGAGAGAGAGATCTGAAACGTTGAAAGTTGGAATGTTATCGGTAAAGACAAGATCTTGAGAGTAGCAGCAGCAGCAGCAGCAAAGGAAGATACAGCATCGGCAGAGCGATGGGAACAGCACAAGAAGGCTCTTGGATGGATGGATACATGCAGAGTCGAGATATTAACGGAGAGGAGAATGTGATGATTTAAGATATGATGGGGATAGAGGTCATATCAATCGGGATTCTTGCTTCTTCTGC